TTTTCCAGCTTGAATTCCTTCTCTCCATCACATTCAGGTACACCAATCAAACATATATTAAGTCTTTTCACATAGTCCCATATTTCTTGGAGACTTTGCTCATTCCTTTTTATCCTTTTTTCTCTATTCTTGTCTTGTCGTTTTATTTCATTGAGTTGGTCTTCAACCTCTGATATCCTGTCTTCTGCTTGATCCATTCGGCTATTTAAGCTTGTACATATTTCACTGAGTTCTTGTGTTGTATTTTTCAACTCCATAAGTTCATTTGTATTCCTCTCTATATTGTCTATTCTTTTCATCATTTCATCGAACCTTTTTTCAAAGTTCTTAGTTTCTTTACATTGGGTTAGAACAAGTTCCTTTAACTCCCAGAAGTTTCTCCTCATCCATCTTTTAAAGCCTATTTCAGATAATGGAACACAGTCCTTTTCCATCAGGGCTTGTTCTGTTGCTGATGAGTCCTTTTCCATCAGGGCTTGTTCCATTGCTGATGGGTTCTGATTTTGGGTATACTCGGCCTTCTTAGGCTGCTTTTTTCCCTTCATTGTAGATGAACCGCCTTTCTAATTAGGTTTCTGAGTCGACGTCCGACTTATTGATTCCCAGTGCTGGGATCTGAGCAACCCACTGTGGTGGCCTAAATAGCAGCGATAAGACTGATGGTGCTCTTCTCCCCGGGAATCTCTGGTCTGGCTTCCCTCTTGAGTCCGCAACAAGCGGCTCTGAATTCCCGGAGCTCCAAACTCCGGTCCGTAGGGGAAGCAGTCCCATTTGCTCTGCATGGAGAGCTCTGCGCCGAGGCGCCAGCAAAACCGCTGCGGCGGCCACAAGAGTCGCGCTGGCGACCCGTGGGGCTCCTCCACTAGGAATCGGCTGATCCGTGAGTGACGAAAATTCGTCTAAAAATGTGGCGTCGTCTCGTTCTCTGAGCTTTCACTGGGAGCTACAATCCTGAGCTGTTAGTGATCGGCCATCTTGAATCTGTCCTAATTTTTGTATTTTTAGTAGAGACCGTGTTTCACCTTGTTGACCAGGATGGTCTTGATCTCTTGACATCGTGATCCACCCGCCTCGGCCTCCCAAAGTGCTGGGATTATAGGTGTGAGCCACCACACCCGGCCTCTAGGTATATTTTAAACAAAGGAACAAGTAGATCTTTGCTGTTGTAGGTAAGGGAGTGACAGAGGGAAGAGTCAGTAATGATGTTGTTGTTGTTGGTTGTTTATTTTGAGACAGAGTTATGCTCTTGTTGTCCAGACTGGAGTGCGGTGGTGTGATCTCAGCTCACTGCAAACTCTGCCTCCCAGGTTCAAGCAATTCTCCTGCCTGAGCCTCCTGAGTAGCTGGGACTACAGGCACACGCCACCATGCCTGGCTAATTTTTGTATTTTTAGTAGAGACGGGGTTTCAGCATGTTGACCAGGCGGGTCTTGAACTTCTGGCTTTGTGTTCTGCCTACCTCAGCCTCCCAAAGTGCTGGGATTACAGGCGTGCGCCCCTGCACCCGGCTGACCCCAGGTTTTCATGGTCCTAGTAGCTGCAGGAATTGAAGCTCCAGTAACTGGGATGGGGAAATTGGTGGTAAGTTCCATAGGGACATCAGAAGTTTAGTTTGGGCCCTGTGAATGCTCATGTTTGAGTGAACAGTCAAGGCATTATGTGCGCAGCTGGACACATAGGAGGGAGTCATCCAAAAATGATGGTTACTGTGTGAACCAGGGTGGAACTGTGGGTCATACTGAGCAGGGAAAATGCAGACCATGGTGGTAATGCTATTAGAACATCGGAAAGAACTGGGTACAAGATGAGGAGCTTTTTTGGTTGACACTTGTTGGGGTTACAGGGCATGACAGTCACAGCTGTGGAAGGGGGCAAAGGGAAAGGTGTTGGTAGAGGGACTGACCTTCCCGGCCCTCCTAGTAACCACTGGATTTTTTTTCAGTACTATTGCATTTTCAAGACTTCTGTCTATTTAAATCTCTAATTTTATTTTCTGCTTTCCTTAGTGTTGTATAATTTCATGATTTAATCAAGATCAGATTTGAAGTTACACTGTGTTTGTTTACATTTTAATTTTTATTTTAAAAACATTTTATTGGCCAGCTGTGGTGGCTCATGCCTGTAATTTCAGCACTTTGGGAGACTGAGGCAGGTGAGTCACCTGAGGTCAGGAGTTTGAGACCAGCCCTGGCCAACATGGAGAAACCCTGTCTCTACTAAAAATACAAAATTAATGGGGCATGGGGGTACATGCCTGCAGTCCCAGCCACTCTGGAGGCAGTAAATACAGCAACTCTCTGCAGTACCCAAGATTGCAGGTGTCTTAAGCAGCAGAGCCTTTATTGTAACACAAACCAGGGTAATGGGCTGCAGGATATTTGTGACTGGTGGGCTAGAAAATTCCATCTTAAGAATGCTGTGAGATACAAAAGATCCCTGGAAAAGGTAGTCCATCTTTTCAAGTCACCAGAAGGAGTCATCTGTGCCAAAAATGGGTTCGGTCCATGGCCTAACTCATCAGAGAGAAAAAAATGAGAATGGAATGAGTGCTGAGGATACTCAGAAACCCCTCTGGTGAATGAAAGAAAAAGTTACTTCTGTATCATGATGAGGTAGGTGAATGATGAAACTGTGGACACCTGCCAAGTGGTAAAGGTGAAATGCTTTTTGCAAGAGAACTGCCAGTCACATAAATCTGGCAGGGGACAGGGGCAGGTTGAAAATGCAGTGCAGTTCCCACATACCTGGGATGTATGCAGCTATTTTATGTATGACATTCAATTTAGGTACATTGCATCCTTATAAGTGGTGTCCTCCAGTGTTATACCGAGCAAGAAAAAATATTGCCTGCACATCTGTGGTATATTCCTCATGTAAATATTCTGGTAACCAATCAGAGAGGGCTGAAGGCTTTCTCACATTCACTGCAGTAAAAGACATTTTTTCAGTGGGAGCACTCCTTATATAAAGAAGCTAGAGTTCTACCTAAAGAATATTCCCGAGACAAAGGATAATTTCCCTAATACTTAAGAGCACTTTGAAATTAATAAAAATTCAATTAAAAAAAAAGAATATTCCCCATTTATCAGACTCAAAGGCTTTGATCCAGAATGAACTCTCTGGCCTTGAAGAAGCAAAAAGACTGTGCAAGAGAATTTCCCACATTTGCTTCACTTACGAGGCTTTATTCCAGTATGAACTGTCTGATGCTGAAGGAGCGAAGAACTGGCGAAAGGATTTTCCACAATCACTGCATTCGTCTCCCCTTTTTCCAGCATGAACTCTCCCGTGTTTAGCACGGCTAGAGGTTTGAGCATAGAATTTCCCATATATACCACACCTATAAAGCTTTTCTCTAGTATGAGCTCTGATTTTGCAAGAGTGAAAAGGTTTGGTGAAATGATTTTCCGCACCCTCTGCACTCATAAGGCTTTTGTCCAGTATGATATCTCTGATGAACACAATGTGCAGATTTTTTACAAAATAATTTCCTACATTCACGGCACTCATCAGGCGTTTCTCCAGTGTGAACTCTCAAGTGTTTTTTTTTTTGTTTTGAGATGGAGTTTTGCTCTTGTTACCCTTGCTGGAGTGCAATGGCGCGATCTCGGCTCACCGCAACCTCCGTGTCCTGGGTTCAGGCAATTCTCCTGCCTCAGCCTCCTGAGTAGCTGGGACCACAGGCACGCGCCACCATGCCCAGCTGATTTTTTGTATTTTTAGTAGACACGGTTTTTTTCACCATGTTGACCAGGATGGTCTTGATCTCTTGACCTCGTGATCCACCCGCCTCGGCCTCCCAAAGTGCTGGGATTACAGGCTTGAGCCACCACGCCCGGCTACTCTCAAGTGTTTAATAAGGCTGGAGTTTTCAGCAAAGGATTTTTTACATTCACTGCACTCGTCAGGCCTTTCTCCATTGTGAACTCTCAGATATCTAATGAGGCCAGATCTTCAGCCAAAGGATTTCCCACACTGCCTACACTCATGCTTTTTTTGGTATGAACTCGCTGATGGTGAATGAGGTTGGACCTTAAGCTAAAGGACTTTTCACATTCGCTACATTTATACGGCCTTTCTCTAGTGTGAACTCTGTGATGCTGCAGGGGTAAAGAGCTTCGGCGAAATGATTTTCCACACTCACTGCATTCATAAATAAGGCCTTTCTCCAGTGTGAACTCTCAAGTGTTTAACAAGACTGGAGTTTTCAGCAAAGGATGTTCCACATTCACTGCACGCATAAGGCCTTTGGTGTGAACTCTCCTGTGTTTAGTGGGATTAGATATATAAGGAAAGGACTTCCCACATTCGTTGCATTTATAAGGCTTTGCTCCAGAGTGAACTCTCCTGTGGTTAGTGAGACTGGACTTTTCAGCGAAGGCTCTCCCACATTCAGTACACTCATAAGGCCTTTCTCTAGTGTCAAGTGTCTGATGCTGCAGGGGTGAAGAGCTTTGGTGAAACCATTTTCCACACTCACTGCATGCATGGAGCTTTTGTTCGGTATGAAATCTCTCATGAACGTGGAGTACAGTGTTTTGGTGAAATCATTTCCCATATTTGCTGCACTCATCAGGCCTTTCTCCTGTGAACTCTCTGGTCTCTGTAAACATGTACACAAGTGCTCTGCTTAGAAGGTGCTGCCTCCTCTTTTCCTCCATGCCAATAATCTAAAAGCAAGGAAATGCTGGTGAGGTACGTGTTGACTTTGTTGAGTACTGGTGTTTCTATGAGCCTACCCACAAGAGTATCGGACAAATTGAAAAACTAGTCTATGAAATTATTTGCTTGCATCGGGAGTTGGGTTCAGGGTGAGGTTGGGACTGCTTAGCATTATCGCAGATGTAGGATAATTTCTCCTGCACACCTGTTTGTGGAACCTCACTTGCTGATGACATGCGAGTGCTACATAGAAGAATATGTCCAGGCCCCCCCAGGATGACTAGAGCACAACATCCTTTGGTCATGTTGCAGAATATTGAGGAGACTGCAGAGACCAGTGGGTGAAACAAGGAGGATTTTATTAAGGTGGCCACCGGCTTAGCAGATCAGCATCCCAAGGCTGAGTGCCTAGCAAAGACAGGGCTTGACTTTATACATCCAGGATGACGTAGCAGCTAACAGGGTTACAGAAGCCAGAACGAAGAACAGTTATTAATTTGTGACATGTCTTGTGATGTACGTTACATTTGAAAATAGCATTTTTAGAAACACGTTGCATATTCGTTGGGTGTTATCTTACCCTGTGGCCTTTTAACTGGTCTGCAAGTAAAACAGGAGTCTTGAGGTGTCTTGGAACTTTGCTGAGTAAGTGGGGAGAATAGATAAGGTGAGTTTTACAGGGAGTTAGTTAATTTCAGGCAGAGCTGGGGGTTAGGTTTTATACTGAACACAACACAGTAAACTTTATTATGCAAAAATTAAATAATAACAACTGTTGTTATTTATTATTTAATTTCCCTCTTCAATTAGGGACTGTTAAGAATGGGTAGATATGGCTGGGTGTGCTGGCTCACGCCTGTAATCCCAGAATTTGTGAGGCCGAGGTGGGCAGATCACAGGGTTAGGAGTTCGAGACCAACCTGGTCAACATGGTGAAACCTCTTTTCTACTAAAAATACAAAAAATTTAGCCGGGCATGTGGTGGTGGGCACCTGCAGTCCCAGATAGGAGGCTGAGGCAGAAGAATTGCTTCAAGTCTGGAAGCAGAGGTTGCAGTGAGCCAAGATCATGCCACTGTACTCCAGCCTGGGTTGCAGAGCGAGACTCCATTAAAAAAAAAAAAATGGGTAGACACTTCATAATTCAAAATATATGAGCCAGTATTGAAGACCACTGCAGACAGAGCAGGGAGAAAAATAGGTGGTGAGATGTGGAGTCCAGAGTTATTAGTTCAGGGCTGGATTTAACAGCACAAGTGACAAGGTATAGGACTGATGAACTGGCAAACGCTTAAGAATTGGGAAGACAGAAATAATGTGCTGCTTCTGTTGGCACCAAAATAATAGTCCTGTCCTCACTCATACTATTCCTAAGGACCAGACTGCCCCAAGTCCACGTTGCATTGAAGCAGGAGCGGCCGCAAAAAACAGACCTCTTGAACACCGAACCAGCAAGAAAGGGGTGTTTATTATTACAGCCCGGGAGTGAGGCTTTCTGTATTGTATAAATGGCCCAGCTCCCCTAACACAGAGAAGCTCTGCCTTTATATAGGCTTACACTCTAGATATTCCCAGAGACGGAATCTTAGGTTTCCAGCCTTAGAAATTACAGGTGAAAGGGTCTTGGGTTTACAGTTTTAGGGATTACATGTGAAAGCGTTCTGGTCTCTGGATGGAGGAGTAGGGTGGGGGTTTGATCTTGTTTCAGAACAGTGTCTTCCGGAGAGATTCCCCCATACCAAGCCTGCCATCTTGTAGGAAGGTGATTTAGGAGGCGCCAGTCGACCAATCTTTTCTTCTATTGAAATGCAGTGCGGAGGTCAAGCGGGGAGGTGATCCTAGACGACTGGGATTCCTTCCTCAGCATCTTTGGGACAACCAAGGGATCTTCATATCACCACCAAGATGAACAATGACATGCAACCCGATACTGTAAATACTAAGGCAAGGCCGGGCGCGGTGGCTCACGCCTGTAATCCCAGCACTTTGGGAGGCCGAGGTGGGTGGATCAAGAGGTCACGAGATTGAGGCCATCCTGGCTAGCATGGTGAAACCCTGTCTCTACTAAAAATACAAAAAATTAGCTGGGCCCGGTGGCGCATGCCTGTAGTCCCAGTTACTAGGGAGGCTGAGGCAGGAGAATCACTTGAACCCGGGAGGCAGAGGTTGCAGTGAGCTGAGATCACACCACTGCACTCCAGCCTAGGCGACAGAGTGAGACACCGTCTCAAAGAAAAAAGAAGTACTAAGGCAAAAACAGGACAGATGAACAGTCAGTACTGGCTCAGAACAAGTCTGCATTTGTGCTGTAGGAAGGAGGTGGAATGCAGAATTGAAGGCAAAGATAAAAGGTTCTGTTTGAGAGAAGGGATCAGGGGGCTCTTTGCTTCTAGTAAACAAAGGCCCTGAGCTCTTACAGCCTTTCTTATTTAGTAAGCAAAGTGAATAGGGAGGAGGGGTGATGTTGGTCAGCTACTTGATTTATCACAGGGACTGCTTCCCTTGTTCAGTAGCTTCCAGATATTCAGGTAGATGACCTCCAGGAGCACTGGACCTGCCCTCAACACTCCTGGCAGCAGATACAGTTTGTCAATTTGCTGACATTCTGCTTTCATGAGGACAGTTTGCTCAATACTCATAAAGCCTCCTTAGGTATTTTGAGTTGGTCACACCCCACATTCTTGGGGTCACCAGCATCTCCCCCTAATGGTTATTGCTGAGTTTAAAATGAGGAAACTGAGGCCAGTATAAGAACAATCAGATGCCAATTTATTTATCTCCCGGGTGAGGTTCTGTGGTCGAGGTTCTGTGGTCCTGGGGAAAGGGGGCCAGATAAGTTGTGCTTGACTTCTCAGGGCAGGGGGTTTTATGGGGGTTAGAGGGGGGCTGGCCTAGGATGCATGGGGTGGGTTGCCATTGGGTAAGGCTCGGCGGGATTTTTCAATTTTCGTGGGTTCAGATGTGTACTTTAGTGCTGAGGTTCAAATACATAGCTTGGTGCTGAGAGTGCATAGTTTAGTGCTGAATATAGACCTGGGGGCAGAATGCAGAAGTGGGCGAGGGGAGCCCGCATGGAGGAGCCAGATGCTGAGTAATGTGTTCTGCCTGATAAACTGTTATCAGCATAGAGGGGGTGGGTGTTGTTCATCGGCTCTTAGCAAGGCTATCGGCCTTACACCCCCTTTTAGTTTTTACATTAATTAAATGAAGGCAGTTCCCGGCTGGACAGCTTTCAATTGCCAGGTGTTGGTCCACAGCATCATACAGACTACAGACAGAAAACGGAGACATAATAGCATTATTCCTATGATGATAAGAGGGACATTGAGATTACGTTTAAGATAGGTCCAAGGATTAAGGCTCTCCAAGCCCTGCTGGAATTCTGTCCAAGAGTTTTTGTTTTTGTTTTTTTTTAATTAATTAATTAATTTTTTTAATGGGGTCAGGCAGATCGTGGCTCCCAGGCATCCTGCAAAGTAGGCGGGTCACCTCGGGGGCGTCCTTTACCCGTTGTCTTACATTAGCAGTGAGGATTCCGGCGTCACCCCGAATCGTTTTCCTTACTCATAAGTTTAAGGCGTGTCCAAGCTTTTAAAGAAGTTTGATAGTCTCCAGTCTGTTTATTCAAGTCAAGAACTTTTTTGTAAATCGCTGATATCAAAAGTAACATTGGATGTAAAAGCTTCTGAGGTTCCGTGGACATTCACTTTGATTGTATTCCACATTGGGAATGTGGTTAAAATGGCCGTGCGATTGCTGCTGCACTTGCAGGCTTGGTGCTTGTTCTTGCAGCCACAAGACAGTAGTCTTAGCACTGCCTCTTCTGTTTGTAATTCCACTTCAGTTTTATTTTGGAGCATCCATGTCTGATCAACTATACGTGTCCAATTTTCTACATATTGGGCTGTTCGAAATAGTGCTACTGAAGACACTACAACAGAAGTTACCAGTGTGATCAAGGAGACCGTAGCAAAAATTATCATGCCTAAGGCTCTACGAGCACCACAAGTTAGCCAGTAAGAATGTTCACGGAATGTAAAGCCAGCGTAGCAGCCCATGGTTCAGACAAATTATCAGGAATCCATAATCCAGGAATACGACTATGAATTATTGGGGTGGATATGTTCTGTCTTCATATAGTGCTATGATTAAGGCAATAATAAAATTGACAAGAGACTGAAGTCAGTTGGGTGATATTTACCTGGAATTGACCTTTTTTAGCTGCTAGAAAAACATAAGGATTGAGGCCGGGCGCGGTGGCTCACACCTGTAATCCCAGCACATTGGGAGGCTAAGGCGGGTGGATCACGAGGTCAAGAGATAGAGACCATCCTGGTCAACATGGTGAAACCCCATCTCTACTAAAAATACAAAAATCAGCTGGGCATGGTGGCATTCTCCTGTAGTCCCAGCTACTCGGGAGGCTGAGGCAGGAGAATTGCCTGAACCCAGGAGGCGGAGGTTGTGGTGAGCCGAGATCGCGCCATTGCACTCCAGCCTGGGTAACAAGAGTGAAACTCCGTCTCAAAAAAAAAAAAAAACATAAGGATTGAAAACACAGACCATAAACTGAGTGGTAATGTTTGTAACGAAGGTGATATTAAAGTACGTTGAACAGAATTACTATTATTGAATAGTGTTCTGACCCAAATGCTGCGTTTCATAAATGAGAGTTTAGTTGTTCTGTGTCCGGGGCAGTCACGGGTCCTGGAGCCCACGCTTCCTGATCATGATACATTTCAGGAGGAGTGTCAGTCCAGAGTACCAGCTGCACTGCTGGATGGTTGGGAACAGAACATATGTCCAGTATGTTTTTGCCTCTACATAGGGGAAACATACGGCATAGGATACCACGGCGAACGTGGAGTCAGGGTTTTTGCCTGACCCTGGCACTCCAGCAGTTTCTTAGCCTCCTATGTTATTTTCTTGATCTGTCCCCGTGTTATGGGTTTGATTGTGATTGTGACTCTGGTTGGCCCTTGTTCCATCTTCGCCTTCAGATCCAGTTGGCTCATGGCTCATACTGGAGGGACTGGGCCCACAGTTGGCCACCATGGATCCTCCAGTGTCCTGTTCCATGGTCATACATACTGGGAGGGCACCCACACGGTTTGTCCACCTCCAAAAACTGCGAGCATAGCCCCTTCCCCATGTCAGCAAATCCGCTGGGCCTTTGCATTGTCCTTTTTCGGGGATTTCTGTAACGTTTTTGGATAAACTTGCCTCTTTTCCTCCAACACTTGCCAGTGTCTTTCTCCTGGAGTCTTACCACCTGTGAAGTAAACAAGGCTAAATGTAGTTTTGTTTGAGGTGGTAGTTGGTCTCCTGTTCCCCCTTTTTGTTGTCTGAGTATTCATCTTAGTGTTCGATGTGCCTGCTCAGTAATCCTTGTCTTCAGGATTGTATCGAATTCCTGTTTAGTGTTTGATTGCCCACAACTGTAAAAAGTTTTGAAAAGCATGACCTGACATAAGCGGGTCCAGTGTCAGTTTTGAATTGTTTAGGGACCCCCATATGGGCAATCGATGACAGTGTCATCAGACGTGACCAGCTGTTTCTCCTGTTGGACATACAGCATGTAACATGAGACCGATATCTACAGTTAGGTGACCATCGCTGAGCTTGCCGAAGAAGCGTGCTATATGTGTGGCATCCATCTGTGAAATTGCACTTGGAGCTAAGCCTCGCGGGTTACATCCTTCCACAGGTGGAACACCAGGGATATGTTGGCAGGTGGGGAAGGCGTGCACAGTGGCTTGGGCCTGGTTGTGAGATAGATAAAACATGCAGTGAGGGCAGAGGTGTTTTCATGTAATAATGCATGGGAACCTTGGACCGTTGAAATAAAGAACCAGTTAGCTTATCTGCTTCCTCATTGCCTAGAGGTAATGGCCCAGGATATGAGGAATAGGAAAAGGAGTAGCATGAGAATGAGTAACTTGCCGATGTCTTGAGAAGTAAGTTAAGCAGCTCTGGTTCTACGGCGCTTTTCAGAGTGGCAGCCTCCATGCGACTGGCTCCATTTACAACATAGGCCGAATCAGAGACAATGTTAACAGGGGAGAAAGCTGTGAGCTGCAGAATTCTGAACGTAGAGCTGAAACTCCAGGGCTCTTGATTGATTGAGCATGTTTAGTTCCATAAATAGCTGCACGGCCTTTAGAAGAGCCATCAGTAAAATAAGTCTGTCCATCTGGAACACGCTTGTGATGAGTAATCACAGGGAGGATTGAAGGGTGAACCTTGTAAAATGGCAAAATCTTACCTGAAAGGTAATGGTTATCTGTAACTCCTACAAAATCTGTGAGGGCCATTTGCCATGCAGTCCACATTTCCCAGACCACAGCCTGCTGTTGGGGATCCCAGAGAACACCTTCATCAGGGTCATATCCTGTAAGCATTTTTGATCTACGTTTGGCTGTTGTTGTAAGTTGTGTGATTAAAGAAAGGTAAACTTGCAAGGATTTTACTGTCTGATCGGATAGAAAAAGTGACTCCATCACCATTATAATTTTGTGTGTGAACTGTCCTGAAAGTGCTGTTGGAGGCCAGGCGTGGTGGCTCACGCCTGTAATCCCAGCACTTTGGGAGGCTGAGGCGGGCAGATCACGAGGTCAGGAGTTCGAGACCAGCCTCGCCAACACGGTGAAACCCCATCTCTACTAAATATACAGAAATTAGCCAGGTGTGATGGTGGGCACCTGTTATCCCAGCTACTTGGGAGGCTGAGGCAGGAGAATGGCTTGAAACCAGAAGGTGGAGATCGCAGTGGGGCTAAGATTGAGCTATTGCATTCCAGCCTGGGCAAAAGAGCGAAACTCTGCCAAGAAAAAAAAAAAAGTCCTCTTGGAGAATGGAGAGTGGGAAGCATAAACACAGGCAGAGGCTTCTGTGGGTGGAGTTGGTACGCATGTCATTCCGGAAGCATTTGTTCTATCTCCAAGCTGCAACTCAGCTTCTGCCTCCTTAGTAAGTTTCCAGGGAGAATCTAATGAAGAATCTCCTTGGAGTGTTTGATAGAGGTGTTTGAGTTGTTAAACAATACCTAGCACTGGGCTCAGCCAGTTAACATCCCCCAGTAATTGCTGAAAACCATTGAAGTTGGTCATCTGTCTCTACGAGGAGCTGCTTTTTGAGTTCCTATGTACTCATATGGGAAGGTTGTTTGCACCTTTTCCGGAGCTATTTTGAGATTCCATTTAGTCAGGGCTCGTTTTATTTCTCTGCATAGCTGGTGTAATATTTGATTTGTGGGAATGGCCAAAAGAATATCATCAATCTGACGAATGATGTAAGGGGTGGGAAACATGCTTCCCGGATCCTTTAATGCTTTTCCTACAAAATGCTGGCAAAATGTAGGACTATTGAGTATGCTTTGGGGTAAAACTTTCCACCGATACTGAGAGACAGGCTCTCTTTGACTAATAGAAGGCACAGAGAATGCAAATTGAGGCTTGCCCTTCGCATGCAATAGTATAGTATAAAAAAATCTGAGATCTATATCTATGAGAGGCCAATCTCTTGGAATGGCTGTTGAGGACAGTAAACCTTGTTGCAATGCACCCATTGGTTTAATCTGTGAATTCATAGCTCTCAAGTCATGTAGCAGTTGCCATTTTCCTGATTTTTTTTTTTTAAATCACAAATACTGAATTCCAAGGGCTGACTCTTCTATATGCCCTTCATTAAATTGTTCTTTTATTAGGCCAGACGCGGTGGCTCAGGCCTGTAATCCCAGCACTTTGGGAGGCCGAGTCGGGTGGATCACGAGGTCAAGAGATCGAGACCATCCTGGTCAACATGGTGAAACCCCGTCTCTACTAAAAATACAAAAAATTAGCTGGGCACGGTGGCGTGTGCCTGTAGTCCCAGCTACTCTGGAGGCTGAGGCAGGAGAATTGCCTGAACCCAGGAGACGGAGGTTGCCATGAGCCGAGATCGCGCCATTGTACTCCAGCCTGGGTAACAAGAGTGAAACTCCGTCTCAAAGAACAAAAAAATTGTTCTCTTATTAACTGATGAAGCAGAGTCAGTTTCTCCTGTGATACGGGCCATTGATCTGATCCACCACCCATACAGGTTTATCAGTCAGGCCCTCTTAATGGCAAAGCAGTGGATGGATAAGTATCAATGACCCCTATTAGAAATTCTGAAAGCCTAGCTGTTTTCTATTTGTTAGCCCAGTTATCGATAATCGATCAGGGCTTCCCTGCAGGGACTTCCTAAGCCTTTTCCGCTCTGATAACCCATCTTTTTCCACATTTTAAATCCTAGACTATCAATTCTCTCATTCCTAAGTCTCATATCCCATGGTGTAAGTATGTCTTGGCCTCATAGATTCACAGCTATATTTCCAGCCTATGTTTGAAAAGTACACGATTGCCCATCTGGACTGAGGCAGGTAAAATCTCAGTATTCCACTGAACACGCTGAGCTGTTCCTATTCCCACTAAGGCCAGTTGTTTTTAGATATCACTGATAACATCCGCTCCCATGTCCATAATCCCACAAAACTTCTTTCCTTTGATTTATACAGGCCGATTAGAATCTGTGGATTGGGAAGAGGTAAATTTCCCAAATCCTTGATTTCCTCCCGTCTCCCCTTTTTTGGAGAATAAGCAATAGCTGAGCAATGTATTCTTCTGGTTCAAAAACCCAGTGACCCTGTGACAATTACTTGCATTTCTCCTTGGCAGCCAGCCAGCAACTCCAGGGACAGTGGTGACGCCTTGTAAGTTAGGACGGCTTTTACCCAGGATCAGTCCCATATGTCCTCTTGGCAAAGGTCCCCAAAAGCGGGTGGGAATTCTGGTGGGTCTGTCTACACCAGCTAACTGGGAGATGTAATCCTGCACTTCCGGATGTTCCTGGGGAGAGGGAATATGTTCCTCTGAGGACCCACCCCTGCAGTGGGGTTGTGGTCTGGACGGGAAGTGCCCTCAGTGTTTGAGGGAGCTGGGTCCACCCCCTACCGCCCACTCGTGTTTCCTGACGTGGGAGTGCCGTTCTGATTAGCCCACTGGTTTCCTTCCCTACACCGAGCGCAAATTCTTGGCATTTTTTCTGTTGGCAGGGACACCGCGTTATAAGATCCCTTTTGCCATTAGTCTGAGGACACTCCTTCTTAAAATGCCCGATTTTTCCACAGTTTCAAAGACCATGAATTACTTAATTCGTGACAATTCAGAGAGAACTTACAATTTTGTTACTTGACTGACAACCTTTCTGCTAGACAGGAATTACAGAGGTAAGCAGGAGCCTGGAGACAGTTGAGCTTCCACATTCCCCCCTTTAAAAGCTTTCTTTTAAAAATAACTATTATTAGAAGGCTTTCACCTTGTTTACGGTAGACATGCTGCTAGGATAGCAGGATCGAGCCTGAGGCCTGTCACAAGGCAGTCCAGTTGTTTGCCTCGGAGTCGCTTTGCCAGCGCATCTGCTCTCAGCGTCACTTGTCTTTGTGGCAGCAGACCGGCTCTTTGACTTCACGTTTCTCAGCCTTTGTTGGCCTCCCATTCCCATCTTTCAGGGACTCTTCCCCATCATTGACTAACCAGCCATCCACCTGGGGGGCACAATCTTTGGCCTTTAGAGAAGCACGAGTCAGAAGTCAGACTTAGAATCTCTCATGTTCACAAGTGATGTTTAAGGCCTGGGCCTCTCTTCTCTACACTCATACATCTGCATTTTACAAGCCACGTAGAGGGTAAAGAGGGGAGGCCTGGGAAAGAAAAATACCTTATAGAAGACCTATGTTAGTTTCATAATTTTCTACCTTTTCATGAGATGAGCTTTCTTGTGTGGGTAATGGCTGATACTTAGTGCCATTACTTGGGAGGGTGTGTCTTGGCAACACCGCCTCTACAGTGGACTGTATGCTGCTATACAGGAGCGGCAATAAGCAAGGCGGTAATAGACAGACGCCTAATACAAGGACTACACTCCGCATGAGAGTCGTGAATCTGCCAAAAGACGAAAGCCATCCACTAAAAAGAGAGCCTGGGGTCCAGCCTTTCCAGGTTTGGACTAGAACAGGGGCTAACATTCTCATGTTGGCAGTGATTTCCATAACTGCCTGTCTGTTGTCATCAATTGCTAAACAACAGTCAGTTAAATTTTCCACACTCTTCCCTCTGAATCCCGCAGATAATCTAATGCCAGTCTGTTTTGATAAGTTTCATTTCTCATCTGTGTAGATTGTACAGCTAACAAATCTAAAGCTTTAAACGTTTCATTAGTTATAATTTCTAATACTGCTTGTACTCCAATGAAATGATTAATCATGTAGATGGGAATACGATATAACCATGATTCATCTTGTGCCCAGGTGGCTGCCATAATAATTATTCTCTCTGGAGACCAATCTGTATCTTTCCAATCTGCCGTGTATCTTTCTTTTTTTTTGAAGTTTGCTCATTTGTTCCTATCTTTTGTGTTTTTTTTTAGAGACAGGGTTTCACCATGTTGGCCAGGCTGGTCTCGAACTCCTGACCTCAAGCAATCCACCCGCCTTGGCCTCCCGAAGTGCTGGGATTACAGGTGTGAGGCACCGCGCCCGGCCATTTGTTCCTATCTTTAGACTTATCGTAAATAGGATGGATATCCTAATGTTTCTCCCTGTTTTAAGGGTAACAGGAAGAATGAGGGTTTAATGATACCTAATACACACGCTCTTATCCATTTTTCTGGCAACTGCCTGTAGGCTGGCTGACCACAGATCCGGTAGAGTCCTGCAGGCGCTTGCCGTGTGTCTGGTGCATCTATTGATGCTAAGAGTGGTTTAAAGAAGGGAACCTAGAAAATGGGTTAAAAACGAGATGGCCGGCCGCGGTGGATCACGAGATCAAGAGATCAAGACCATCCTGGTCAACATGGTGAAACCCCGTCTCTACTAAAAATACAACAATTAGCTGGGCACGGTGGCGAGTGCCTGTAATCCCAGCTACTCAGGAGGCTGAGACAGGAGAATTGCCTGAACCCAGGAGGCGGAGGTTGCGGTGAGCCGAGATTGTGCCATTGCACTCCAGCCTGGGTAACGAGCGAAACTCCGTCTCAAAAAAAAAAAAAAAAGAGACGGCCTTGAGCTATTTTTACCTTTTCTGTTTTCTCTCCGCCATAAAGTTTTTCCTATAGCTTCATGATAGTACTGTTGCCCTTACTTAACAGGCTAATTTACCTACAGGGTGTGTATAGGGGGTACCCTGGCCAGCTACGCAGTATCTTCCTTTGATCGGGGTTGTTAAGAGCCAAGTATCGGAGCCAGTAGGCATTAATTATGGAGCATCTGTGGTGGAGAGAATTAATGTGTAGTTGTCATGGGGAAGCAATTATTTTACCTCGCATGGCCACCGATTCTCCATGTCAGTTCCTCTGCATATATAACATGAGGAAACTCCTCTATTTCCTGCTGCATTCTCAGCTAACTGTTCAAACAGATTTTAGTGGCAGGGATTACCTGGTTAATATCTTCACTCAAAGATTTGAAAATCCTAAATCGTTGCTGAAGTTTGTGAGCTCAAGTCCTTTTGATAATACTAAAAATACGATTCTATCAGTAGCTTGCACCCTGGAATATTTAATGCCTAATTTCTGTGGCTGTATCGCTGTATCCAGTTAGGACCTCAAATTTGTTATTTCAAATCAGAGTTCACCTGATTGAGCAAGAGGCACTGAGGTCCTAACTGGATAATCAGGTGAACTCTGATTTGAAATAACAGATTCAGTGAGGCGACAGGAACTTCCTGGTACCATCTGTTGAGGCTTCTGGAGAAGTTTCTGTCCTGAGGATGTGGAGTATCACTCATCCAGTAAGGGCTGTGACTGGATACAGTCAGCTTTCTTCTGGGATCAGGAATGTAACAACCGCAAGAGGCACATGCTGACGTGACTGCATGCCAAGGGTTGTGTTATTATTTTTACAGAGTGTTCTTGTTAGCTGGCAGGCATCTGAATACAGATATTACAGATACAGGCGGCCTTTGTCAGAGGAAGGTACTCTGGTTGAATTGTAAAGAGATCCTTTTCCAGACCTATCACGGAGCTTGAACCAAGTCCCAGGTAGAAGTTTGGGGTCACAGCAAATGTAGGGCTGATCATCACCAAGATCACAGATTGAGTAGTTTGGTTACATATACAGGTTCCTAGGGGGGTTATATAAAAAGGTGGTAACTTGTGTGTCTCCTACCCGTGTAGTACGGGTGCATATAGGACATCCGTCCTAAGCTTCCTCCCTTTCTAAGATTGCCGCAAGCTAACACGATGAAAATGAAAGGCGACGTCTTACACCAAGACCTGGGCAGGAGTGCTTTCTCCTGGAAGCAAGCTTTGCAGCAGTCACAACATAGTCACAAGATGGTTAATACTGCTACAGTAACAGTACATTTATTTATCTGGCGGAGATTCCTCAAGCTTCAGCTAGTGCGTTGACTAGTCAGCTTCCGGTTGTGTGACTAGAGCAGGGCTTGATGATTCTTCATTATCAGTTGTGTCTGAGGTCAGGCTGGTGTGGGTTTGGTCTCTGTTTGCCTCTCGTCTTAAGCTTCGTCTGGCGGGTTGACCCGGGTCTGGCTGGCTGGTCCACGTGTCCTGGGCAGCAGCTCTCTTGAACCAGCTGTGATGGATCCAGGGAACTTCAGCAACCTTAACTGCAGTGGGGGTAGATGAGATGGCAACAGAGGGCCCGTCTCATATGGGTCCTAATGTGGTTGGGGTGGGTGGACTGGGCTGGATGTACTGGCAAGCTTTCTTGGATGCAACTCTGCTGCTTAAGGCCTGCATTTGTCTTCTCCATGTTAGTGCTCCTGTTTCCTAGTTCTCCTTTAATTGTGGTAATGAGCGGGGAGGCCTTCCAAACAGAACTTTGTAGGGTGAGTGTCCTGTTTTTTTTCTGGGTGCATCTGATTTGAAGGAGAACCATGGGTAGATCCTGATCTCACTTTAGGTGGGTTACTTGACAGAAGTTTTTTTAATAATTGCTTTATTGCTTGGTTCATCCTTTCAGCTTTTCCTGAACTCTTGGGACAGTATGCAGCTTCCATCTTGTTTTTAATAACTGGGATAGGTGTCGACAACTTCAGCTACACATACCGGGCCATTATCTGACCCGATAGTCAAAGGCACCTCAAACTTGTGAATAATGTGTGCTAGTAACACCCAGTTACTCCTCAGGCCTTTTCAGTTGAGGACAACCGTCACCCAGTCGGAATAGGTGCAGACAAAGACCAATAAATATTTAAGACCTCTTACACAGGTAACTCAGTAAAATCGACCATCAGGTTCTCACGGGGGGTGAATTCCTGGGGGCCGGACTGGTCCTTATCTAGGGTTGTCTTGTGCACAGTTAAGCACTTTTCATGGACAGTACTGTTAATAGCTGTAAGCTGTTGTGAGGTTGACTAAAAGGGTGGGGAGGCCGACCCGGGGTCAGGTTTAGCAAGTTTATTTCAACCTGCCAGGCTGGCTGCCTCATCACAGGCAGTGAAGGCAGCAGCCTGGCTTACAGACTGTAGGGGTTATATAGGGGCTTTGCAGGTAGCCAGGTGCTGTTCTAAGAAAAACCGTATCTTGGTTCTTAGGGGCTAACATTCTGCTTAATTGGGTCAACGTCCTGGGTTTGAGAGCCGGGTACGACCACATCCTGGAACCTAGGTGCCCTGTTTACAGGGCGTGAGCTCAGCTTAGGAGAATGGCAAGGGGGGGTCTATGGGCTTGCTTTGCTGTCACCCTAGCATTCCAGCCTCTTGAGATAGATATATATATATATCTATATGGGGCACCATTTTAGCTGCTTCATGCTGAGTAGGGACGCTGGTTGGGGTGAGACTGGCTTGCAAGTTGGTAGTCCTGGAACACCATCATGTCCTGTAATGTGGATTCTGCAAAAAACTGGTTGAAAAGGCGTAAGAGGCAAGGGCCAAAGATGAAGAGGAGGAGGAGAGTTATAGCAGGGCTGAGGAGGGGAGGCAGCCAGGGGGCCCAGGAGCTGAGAGACCAACTGGGCCAGCCGGGCCACACAGTAGAATGTTTTTTAAATTTTTTGGGTTTGGTCTTTGAGCCTTTTGATAGTATTTTATACTAATCTAGATTACTGAGGTTAAAAACAGCATTATTTATTTAAAAAGAGGCACAGACTTTTTTTTTCCCCCAGCAGTGAGCTGGTCTAGGCCTCTGAGGTTTTTGTAAAGAGTCTAGTTGGTTTTGAAGGTTAGTGATAGACTTTGCTATGGTTTGTTTTTACTGACTGGAAATTTTGGGAAAGCAACTAGAAATATGGTAACAAGGTTTTGAGACTTCGTGCTTCTAAACTGACATTAGTGGTGACTTTAAGGGGCTGAACTATATATTTTTGGGGGGCGAGGGGGGGCATGTAGTATAGTAGGACAGGGAGTTTTCCGGTTTGGAGGACAAGGTGAATGTGGGAGGTAGATTAGGGTGCAAGCACCTGTCTAGTTGGTAGGGAGACAGAAATGGGTTATGGATCTCAGAGGAAGGAGACGCCTGTGGTGTTAATGTAAACGGACAAGTGATTGAGAATAGGTGTTGGTGTGTGTAGATTCCTTATTTGGAGGGAATTGGTCCAGCTTTAGCAACCCAGTGCGAGAAGGAGAGAGAGAGACCCCCTTGAGAACTGTCTCACGAAGGGGTTTCCATGTTTGAGAGGCAGGAGAGGAGGTAATGTGGAGGGGCTGCGGAAAAGGGCCGTTAGCTTAGGGGAGAGTGAGGGGTGGGAGATGTTTGAGCAGCACCACAGACGGAGGGAGGGATGGTGCGTGCGTGTGTGTGTGTGTGTGTTGGAGGAGGCAGCATATATGGGGTCTTGGCCAAGTTTTGGGTGTAAAGTTATGGAACTTTCGGAGTTTTGCGTGGTTGTAATTAGCAGTATATGTGAAGAGAAGTTACCAAGAAGAGGGTGAAGGTTCTGTGTACAAAGGCAGGGCCGCTCTGGATGGTGTGTGAAAAGGAACAGGAAGATGGTCCTAGGGCTGAGAAACTGCCACAGCTGCGTGGGCAGCAGTACAAAGGCAGGGCTGCTCTGGATGGTGTGTGAAAAGGAACAGGAAGATGGTCCTAGGGCTGAGAAACTGCCACAGCTGCGTGGGCAGCAGAGGAGCAGGAAAAACAGGAATGCATACACTTTCCTTGAGACGTGTGTGTGCGCGCGTGCGTGCTCGGGGGAGAGGAGAGGACTTTGAATATTTGATATGTTATGAGGAGAGAGACTTCTTAGCTGATGTGTAGGGAGAGGAGGAGAGTGGAGGGCTCCTTGAGAGGAAGTGACAGCAGACAAGACAGTTGGGTTTTTTTACTGTGTAAACAGGTGTGGGGTGGGGCTAGAAGGGTGAAGGAGAAAGGTACAGGGGTGTGCATTGATAAGAGATGTTAGAATTTCCAGTTCCCTTGGAAGGAGGCTCCTTGTTTTAACAGTGAAGGTTTTCTGGTGGCAGAATACTGGGTTTGAATTGTGGGGGTGATGAGGGGGAGAGGGACAGGGGCAGAGGAAACAGACTTCTTGCCTTGTCGGCCTTTCTGGTCCTGTTTGGTGTCCTCGGCAGTGTGTAACTCCTGCTGGGAGGTGTGCAGCTTGGAGGAGTTGGTAAGTAATTAGCGATGGGGTTCCTGCCTGGAATGGGAGTAGAACAGCGAGGCATGTAAGGAAAGACTGTGAGAAAACAGTATTAAATAGGGAATACATAAGGGGTCTGGGGGCGCGTGGGCGTGAGATGAGTTCGTCAGCCTCCTCCACAACTGAGAGCTGAGAGGGATCAGTTGGTCCTGGGAATTCAGGCAAAGCAGAGTAGGTAGCCTGGGTCTTATTAAAGGTGAGATTTACAGCGTCCAAACATCCAATTTTGCTTGTTAAAAAAAAAAGATTGGCTTACCTGCTCCTGACAGTTAGTCTGGGCTCCAATACGGTGATGGTGGGTGGGGCCAGAGGTCCCGGGCCGGCGATCTTCCAACAGTGGGTGTGCAAGCGATTCCTCACCTTTTGTCTTGGTGAAGGGGCTGCCGGTTGGAGGTTCAGGCTTTTCTGTCTGCCTGTTGAGAGGACAGTCAGCTTCCAGTGGCCTGTGTGCTAGCGGATGGGGCAAGGGCTTTTTGGCACCCATGGATTGGGACATGCCTGTGCCTAATGAAACAAGCCCTTGGATCTTTTGTGCCCCTGGGTGCCACAGCCAGGCTGTTTAGGTTTAGCCTTGTCTATTTATTGAAGACCACGTTAAGGAGGTCTTGTGGGGTTTGAGGGCCAAAGTGTGTGCTGGATGTCTGGAGCAGACTGGGAAACAAAATGGGTGTCCAGGTTCATCTGTTGCCCCTTATTATCAAAAACCCAGCCGGTGTTCGCCGATCAAGGGCGCCCTCTGGCGGCCAACCTATGCCAAAACCAGGCCATTCTATTTCGGAGAGGTCAGCTTTACCGTAGCCTTTCTTTAGCATGCACTCTGAGGGAGTGGGCTTTAATTCCCTGGATTCTCTTCCTCCCATTTCCTTCCTCATGGCGCACACTTTCACTTTGGACCGATTGGACTGTCTCCCTTGTGGGAGTGTTTCAGACACCACAGGACATTGGACAGTTCATTACTTCCCCCACAATACCTAGACTGTGGGGGTACCTCCTTCAGTCATACGCAGTAGCCCCTAAGGATGTTCACCCCTAGTCCCAGTTAGCCCCACACTTCACTGGTAATGTAAAGTCCACTCTTAACTGACCTGCAGCACCCGCACACCTCTGCCACCCCAGGACTCCTCATTGGACAAAACCGAGCCTCCCTTGCGTCCCAGGTATGTTCTCATCCACGGACACACTCCCAGTTGGGGTAGCTGCTCTTGCTGCCCCACCAGCAAGTCCTACCCTGCTGCACTCACCGCTGTATTGGCTCAGACTCACTCACACTGGTGGCTGCTGCTTTATGCCAGCGCCAGGGTTGAATCTCAACCTGGATTGGTGAAGTCCTTTCCTCACGGCCCCAGCCACCTTTTGGGTCAGGCTAATAGACAACCTTTGAGGAGTGACTGGTCCCCCACCTGCCTGGTACGGCAGGATTTCTGTCTGTCCTCTACCATAGCCTCTCCATTCTGTAGGGCCCTCTTTTCTTACCGTGATTCTTGGCGTGCACCGTGTGGAAAGCTGGCTTACGGTACCTGTCGGGCCGGTAGAAGTGGTGCCTTGGGCTGTGGGAGAGCCGAGCCCTTGTCTCAGGAAAGCTCTCTAGTCTGCACTTCTAGGAACTGGGTCTCCCCCCACCCTGGGGTCCAAGCCCCACAGGAATTACAGAGGCATGGGGAGGGTGTCGTGATTAAGCTTTCAGCTGCAACGTGTTAGCTATGCCTGGTGAGGTTAAGTTCCTCAGCCCATGTATAACCTCTAAATGACCTTTAGTTAATGGTAACTGTTACCTGTGTAATGCATGTTATTTTGAACTTTATTATTACTTATTTTCCTTCCACATATTAACCACACTAGCTTTTAATAGCTTAAATTCTACTGGAGTGCGTTTATAAACAAGTTGTTGTGGATTGTTTGGCCCTTAGGGTAATGGGAAAAGCACAAGGTCTAAGGGTTCCCTGACTACAGCTGCAGCGGGCAGAATTTTTTGTACTGGCGTCTCTGTCTGCAGTGCAGACCAGCTCTCCTCCCCCTCCCCTGTTTCTCACCTTCAGTGGGCGCTGTTGGTGAACCAGAAGGCTCTTTCAATTTTGGGGAGTCAGAGCATGGCTCCTGCTGTTCACTTGAATAAGAAAGGGATAACGGCAGGATGACAGTATGCACCAAATTCTAAGGAAAAGAAAACAGAGGGATCTACTTTAAGACCTTTTGATGAGCCCATTTCAAACCTTTCCTACCTGGTCCCAGTTTTCCACATCGAGGTGCCTGTTTGTGGAAACCATGAGTTATGTGTCATGACTTCCTACAGAAGCTTAGTGTTAGGTCGGGCGTGGTGGCTCACGCCTGTAATCCAAGCACTTTGGAGGCCAAGGCGGGTGGATCACCTGAGGTTGGGAGTTCAAGACCAGCCTGACCAACATGTGAAACCCCGTCTTAAAAAAAAAAAAAAAAAAAAAAAGCAGCAGCTTAGTGCTTCAGAACTGACCTGAGCGCCAGATTCTGTAAGTAAAACGTTAAGCAACTGCACATCATTTTGCTCCTCAGTAGAGAAATCTGCCCCATGCTACCCTGATTCAGAAACTTCCCCCTCCAGTACCTCTTTAGCACTGCCGGCAGATCGGGGTTCCACAACCTCTGCTCCAGCAGACCTTCATTCGGGTCCCTGTGCAGGGGCCACTTGTGGTAATCTCGAGAATGAAGGAAGACCAACGAGGAATTGAAGCTAAAAAAAAAAAAAGATTGTTTGAAAGAATGGGTCAGGGGGTTCTTTGCTTCTAGTGAACAAAGTCCCTGAGCTTTTACAGCCCTTCGTGTTTATTAAGTGAATAGGGAGGAGGGCGTGATTGTCGGTCAGCTGCTTGATTTTCCACAGGGACTGCTTCCCTTGTTCAGCTGCTTCCAGATATTCAGGTAGATGACCTCGAGGAGCACAGGACCTGGGGCGTCACTGCCCTCATCGCTCCTGCTGCTTCCATGAGAACAGTTTGCTGTTACTCATCCAGCCTCCAGAGGTTTTTGGTCACACCCCACATTCTCGGGGTCACCAGCACAGATGATATCACAGGAAACTAAGTATTACAATTTATTTTTAGAGCTGAGGCTCTGTTACGTTCTCCAGGTTGACCTCAACTCCTGGGCTCCAAGTAGCCTCTGAATATCTGGGATGACAGGTGAGTGTCATTGCGCCTGGTGAAATACTACAAAACAAAATCTGAAGTAGTTTGGCAGGAATAGGCTGTGGTTCATGTATGCCATCACGGCTTGTAAAAAATGTGAGCTAAAGGAAATAGAACCAGACAGACAGGCAGAGGACACCAAGGTGGGATGCGTGAGGGTGACTTTAGGACCCCTGACCCTGACTCTTTCCTGAGAGTCTGCAGCAAAGCAGGTTGGGGCTCCTCAAGGAAAGGAGCACTGGAGAACGAATCTGTACCCATCCTGATGTGAGAAAGACCTTTTTTTTTTTTTTTGAGACTGACTCTCGCTCTGTCACCTAGGCTGGAGTGCAGTGGTGTGATCTCGGCTTTCTCCGCCTCCTGGGTTCAAGCGATTCTCCTGCCTCAGCCTCCTGAGTAGCTGGGATTACAGGCACATTCCACCATGTCCAGCTAATTTTTGTACTTTTAGTAGGGACGGGATTTCACCATGTTGGTCAGGCTGGTCTTAAACTCCTGATCTCGTGATCCACTCACCTCAGCGTCCCAAAGTACTGGGATTATAAGCATGAACCACTGCACCTGGCCACGAGAAAGACATTCTTACCAAGAGGGATAAAGATGAGGGGGAGAGACTTAACTCGCATCACACGTAAGTATGAGTACCTCACTCAGGCAGGATGTTAGTGTCAGGGTCTCCAGCATCACATCACCGTACAGGCATCTCTGAGCCTCATTAAGAAGATTCCATTCCTCCAGGGAAAACTTTACAGCCACATCTTCAGGGGTCACACTGCTCTGTTATGATGGGGATACAGGAAACCACAAATGGCCCCCATGCTGAAGACCCACAACTCACTTCCCCAACATATCTACCTTTGCCCATCTTCTACCTCTCAGGTTCTCTAACTCAGAGGAGAAACTTTGTCACTAGTGCCACTGTGTCCTCATGGGACCATTGATCATATCACATAGCCATCAGCAACAAGAGGCAGGTGAAGGATCAGGTATCTATGCTGTGGTCCTGAAATAAGGGGTTCTATCCCCTCCTTTCTAGCAATTCCCCTGGTACAGCAAAGGTCACACGAATCCCAACGCAGTGCCTTAGGCGCTTCCGACATAACGTACACACCCTTCACGTCTTTGAACACCACAAACGTGCCAGTTGCCGCTGGAGCCGCTGCCACCACCACCAGAGGCCTCTCTCTGGCCTTGCCAGAAGTTAGTGTTTTAATTCCCCTTCCTAATTCTGGTGAGGATAGCAGTTTAACCCTGGGGTTACGGTGACGGCCACACACACGACACCTGACGCTGAAAGTCAGCATCATCCACAGTAGTCTTGGTTAATTAAAAAGGAATCCGAAACTATCACAAAATCCCAGTGGTTCCTAACAGCAGTGCTAGGCCCAAATCCACAGGCAAAAGGAACCGTTAGTATTTTGGGATATTCATGGCCTCATTTTACTTCTATGCTGCATTTGCTACCCTCAGAAATTATGAGTTACTTCTGTCCACCTAACCACATCCAAAGCCCAGACCCACTGTTCCTCAATCTTGGGCCTACTGACTCACAAGATGACCTTATTTGCCTCCATGAAACACCCCAGAACACACCAAAGTCATCTCAATATTTTGGTGTGGCCACAGAGTGGCAACTTAGGATAAGCTGCAGCCTGAGTGTCATCTTCTCTCAGCTATTCCTATGCCTCTGGAGGCATCTCATGTCTACTCATGTCTGGGAAGCCTATGTTACCTGCCAGACTAGGCCGTCAGAAATACCCTCCCCTTCGTCACCATTTACCTCCCTCACTAATTAAGTCCAATACCATCACCAGATACCCGAGCAGGAAACCCAAGCTCCATTTCCTATCTCTCTAGTAATGTCACCACCATAATCTGAAGGTTGCCCCTTGCAAATGTGACCCATGACTCACTCATCTTGGTCCACACAGTAGCTACCACATATTGGACACCTCCAATATCACCCGCTCCCCAGATATTTGCATCTATGTGTCCTGCTGCCCACTTGATAACTCCACTAACTACTATCTAATACATTTCAGAATCTTAACATGATTGTGATACTGTGAAATACATATATGGTCATCTCCTTTCCTGGCACAGAATTCCTAAAATTCAAATTCATGACACTTTCAAATGTATAAGTGACTTTGCATCGTCATGGGTAACCCCCAGATAACTTCAGGATGGGTACTTGTCAGGGAAAAAGACTCCATTGGGATTCGAGGTCTGGAAACTTCAGCCCCGCACCCCAATCTCCAGAAGGGGAGAGGGGCCCAAGGTTACGCTGACCAGCACTGGCAAATAATTTAACCAACCAAGACTATGTAATAAAGCCTCCATAAAAGCCCAAAAAGAGGGGGTTTGGGGAGCTCCACACACGGAAGTTCCTGTGTTCCTGGAGGAGATCACAGAAGCTTCCCCCGTGTATCTTTTCATCTGTAACCTTCGTAATAAATTAATCTTCTTTAAAATAAACTGAAAATTAAAGTGTCTCAGTTTGGTGACTGGCTCTGGCAAGTTAATGGAAGCTGATTTATAGCGAGTCAGTCAAAAGCACAGGTAAGAAACATCCTGGGGTTTGGAACTGGCATCAAAAGGAGGTGGGCGGCAGTCCCATGGGACCGAGACTTACCCTCTGGGATGTGATGTCCACCGTAGAAAATACTCGGTATTTGAGGAAAAGCGTCCACACATCTGGGCACGAAGTACTCTGTGCTGACTGCTGTTGGGGGGAAGAGCAGAGCAAAAGCAATTTGTCTTTTCCCCCTCAGAATGGCCAAAATGAACCTCCTGATACCTCAGTGAATATTACACCTGATATCAACTGGCTCGTCTCAGGACCAAAAACCACTCAAGCTGTCTAAAAATCCGAGTTGCTCCTTTAAAAACCACACAACCAGAACCTAGCCACATTGCCTAAGCCACAGCTCCAGTTCCCTCATCCTCTCCTGCCGTTTATCTTCCTCCTCCCTCCCCTCAGCCCCACAGTCTGTTGTCCACGCTATAACCAGACAGAGCCTGTTGAGACACTGGTGACATCACCTCACCCCCTTCAGTTTGTTTTTTTTTGACACGGATTCTCACTCTGTTGCTCAGGCTGGAGTGCAGAGTGGCACAATCTCGGCTCATTGCAGCCCCCGTCTCCCAGGTTCAAGCGAGTGTTCCACCTCAGCCTGTGAGTAGCTGAGACTCCAGGCACCTGCCACCACGCCCAGCTGATTTTTGTACTTTTAGCCACCTTCTCCATTCCCTCATCCCTCCAGATAAAACCCATTACATTGTAATAGACCTGAAACATGCCTTTTTTGCCATTCCTCTTCACCTGACTCCCAAGATCGCTTTGCTTCCACTTGGACTCACCCTGAAACCGTCCAGTCACAACAGCTTACTAGGACAGCCCTCCCCAAGGCTTTAGAGGCAGCACGCATTTCTTTGGGCAAGCTGCAGCTCAAGGCCTCACCTTCCTGGACCTCTCCCCTAGCTGCTGCTCCAGTACATGGATGACCTCTTCTGGAGCCCCTCCCTGGAGGACTCAGACTCACACTATTACCCTTCTAAACCTCCTTCTGGTAGAGGATATAGGGTTTCCCCTCCAAAGCACTGCTCTCCACTCCAACAGTGACGTACTTAGGAGCCCAGCTCTCCCCCGGGACCCAAGCCATGACCCCAGCACAGGCAGCACTGACAGAAGGCTGCCCCCACCTACCTCTAAGGGTGAAATCCTCTTTCCTAGGACTAGCAGGCTTCTTCAGAATATGGATTCCCAATTTTGCCCTCCTAGCCCTCCCCCGCTATGAAGCGGCTAAAAGCCCTTTCAGTCAGCCCCTAAATCCTTCACACAACATAATCCCCAGCTTCCACAAACCTAAAGCTCCTCCTCTTTCTTTGCCCGACATGTGTCCGCCCTTCGTTCTCTACACAGCCAAAGACCGTGGAATAGCCCTTGGTGTCCTTGGCCAGCAATAAAGGAAATCCTCCTTCCTTCGCTCCCATAGTTCACCTCGCTACATAACTAGAGAGCACCGCCCGAGGGTGGCCCGCCTGCCCCAGAGCGCTAGCAGGAGCTGCCACCCTTCCCTTAGAAAACAAAAAACAAGATGGGCGCGGTGACTCAAGCCTGTCATCCCAGCACTTTGGGAGGCCGAGGCGGGTGGATCACGAGGTCAAGAGATCGAGACCATCCTGGTCAACATGGTGAAACCCCGTCTCTACTAAAAATACAAAAAATTAGCTGGGCATG